CTGTATCAGTATCTTATTCATGGACTAGTACTCCATTACACAGATGAACCATTTTATATTCCACTGATCCCCTGTTGTTGGAGTGTTAGTTTTTTTTCTAGTCTTGTGATTATAAGTAGTGTTATAGTGAAAAGTCTTGTGAAGAAGTCATTTCACATTTTTCATCATGATACCTTTGGGATAGATTCCTTGAAGTATAATTACTGGTTTAGAGTTTAAATGTATATTATGCTGAACGTTACCAGTTTCCCCACGTTGGACCCATATAATCCTTTTCTTTCTTTTCTTTTGCTTTGCTTTCCTTTTTTCCTGTGGTAAAGAAAATATAAAATATACCATCTTAATTATTTTTAAGTGTACAGATCATTAGTGTTAAGTATATTCACTTTGTTGTAAAACGGATTTCCAAAACTCTTTCTTCTTGAAAAATCTAAATTCTATACCTCTTGAACAACAAACCCTTTTTCCCTCCCCTATACCCCTAGTAACCACCATTCTACTTTTTCTGTTCATGATTTGGACTACTCTAAACCCTTCATATAAGTGGATATAAGATTATTTGTCCTTCTGTGACTGGTTTATTTCACTCAGCGTAATATTTTCAAGGTTTTTTCATGTTGTAGCATGTCAGGATTTCCTTCTTTTTTAAAGGCTAAATAATATTCCGTTGTATGCATGTACCACATTTAAAAAATCCATTCATCTGTTGATGGACATTGGGTCTGTGTCCATGTTTTGGCTATTGTGAATAAGGCTGCTGTGAACTTGAGTGTACAAATATGTGTTTGAGACCTTGTTTTCAATCTGAGGGGGTATATACCCAGCAGTGGAATTGCAGAATCATGTGGGAAATGTATACTTAATGTTTTTGAGGAACTGCCATACTGTGTGTTTCATAGTGGCTGCTTTTACATTTTTACATTCCCCCTAATAGTACACAAGGGTTGCAGTTTGTCTGCATCCTCTCCAATGCTTATTATTTTCTGTTGGTTTGTTTTTAATAGTAGCCATCCTAGTGGTTATGAGGTGATTTCTCCTGAGGTTTTGAATTGCATTTGTCCAATGATTAGAGATGTTGAGCATCTTTTAATAAGCTTTTTAGCTATATGTATGTCTTTTTTGGAGAATTATTTATTTAGGTCCTTTGCCCATTTTTAAATCGAGTTATTTGGTTTTTTGGATTGTTGATTTATTCTTTATATATTCTGGGTATTAGCCCTTTATCAGATAATATAGTTTACAGTTATTTTCTTCTAGGTTATCTTTTAACATAAAATTTTAAAAATTTTGATGAAGTCCAATTTATCTTTTTTTTTCCTTTTTGGTTTGTTATACTTAGAGTATCCTATTTAATGAATCATTGCCTATCCAAGGTCATAGAGATTTATGCTTTTGGTTTCTTCTCCAAAAGTTTTATAGTTGTAGCTTTCACTTTTATGTCTTTGATAACATTTTGAGTTAATTTTTGTATATGATATTTGATTAAGGTACAAGTTCATTCTTTCACATTGAGTATGTAGTTATCATGGCACTGTTTGTTAAAAAGGACTCTAGATCTTTTTAGCCTATGCATCTTTTGTTTTTTACTTTTAATATATAATATTGCAAACATAATGCAGAAATAGTAAATGCATTCCCATGCATCATTATATGATATTGCAAACATAATGCAGAAATAGTAAATGGATTCCCAGGCATCATTATACAGTTAGAAAAATTATAAAAATTTCATTATTCTTACCTCATCTAATTCTCCACCCCTAACACAGTAACTCTTTTTCCCCTTACAGTGAATTAGGGAAAATTCAAGACCTTTTATCACTTTGTACATTGGTAGTTTATGTGTGTCTTTGACAGAGAGGACTTTTTAAACATAACTGTATTACTATTATTACACTCTAGAAAATTACCAGTTATTCCTTAATATTATATCCTACTCAGTTTTTTTTCTAATTGCTGGTTGTTGCCTTAGTTTGAAATGTATCTTGTTTCTTGTATAGTATAAGGTCTTTTATTTTCCATATCATTTCTTTGTTGGAGAAACTGGTCATTTTGTCCTTTAGGATCTCGAGTATTAATTAGGATTAGCTTTGAATGTTTTTTTAGGCAAGAGACTTCATAGGTGGTACTGAGAAAATTTTGTTGCAGAGTATCAGGAAGCACTTATGTTTCATTGTCTTGCTTTTTAGTGATGTTAAGCTTGTTGGTGGGGGTTGCCTGGGTGGCTCAGTTGGCTGAGTGTCTGATTGTTGATTTTGGCTCACGTTATGATCTCATGGTTTGTGAGTTTGAGCCCCTCGTTGGGCTCTGCGCTTGTGGCAGGGAGCCTGCTTGGAATTCTCTCGTTCTCATTATCTCTCCCTGATCCCCCTGTGCTCTCTGGCATGTTCTCTCTCTCTCTCCCTCTCTCCCTCTCTCTCTCTCTTTCCTCCCCCCACTCTCATAATAAATAAATAAATTTAAACAAAAAAGATTGATTGGTGGATTCAACTTGATCCTTTCATATTAAAGTTCCCATCTACCTTTTAACTTCTGGTTTTAGCAAAACTGTTGATGGTCATTGTTTAGATTTATTATTTTACCAGGGATTTGGGAAATAGTAATTTTCTATTTAAAAAATTTTTTTAAACATTTATTTATGAGAGAGAGAGAGAGAGAGAGAACAAGCAGGGAAGAAGCAGAGAGAGAGAGAGACACACACACAGAATCTGAAGTAGGCTTCAGGCTCCGAGCTGTCCGCACAGAGCCTGATGCGTGGCTCAAACTCCAAGAACTAGGAGATTGTGACCTGAGCTGAAGTCGAACGCTTCACTGCCTGAGCCACCCAGGTTCCCCATGGAAAACGGTGATTTTCTAATTCTGTCATTTCTTCTAGCGTTTATTAACTGATTATTCTCTGAGGAAAAAATTCATCTCCTTAGCTTCCCCAAAATAAAATTCATACCAGAAAGGCATGATAAATCCATGGTTCTTTGTTTCTTTATCAGTGTTCAGAGTGGTAAGTTGTACCCTAGCAACCTCCACAGGATGACCAAAGAGGAATTTTCTTTTTACTTTCTTTTAGAAGTTTATTTTAGAGAGAGAGAGAGAGATACTGCATGCGAGTGGGGGAGCAGAGCAGAGGGAAAGAGAGAATCTCCATGCACACACAGGGCTCAATCCCATGACCCTGGGATCAGGACCTGAGCCCAAACCAACATTCAGATGCTCAGTCAACTGAGCCACCCAGGCGCCCCTCTTTTTCCTTTTTTGAGTGTCATTGTGAACTCATTGGTGTTTGTATTTTTTATATTTTCCAATTATTGCAGTCACCATTCTTATATATGCTCAAATGAGAAATTTGGCAAATGAGGATCCTTTCTCCTGGCTCTGATTTGCTTTGACTTGCCTGTAATAGTATTGTTGATGTTTTGCTTTGTGATTTTACAAGATTTCTCAAGTTCATTCTGTTCAGTTTCCTCTGTCAGACCTGGAATAAGCCATTTCTCCAGGGAGCCCTGATTTCTTTTAATGGGAGATGATGTTTAAAGTCCACAATCTGAAGGCAGAGGTACTCATTGCTACTATTTTAGGCCTTTGCAGGCCATTCCTCATGCCAAACCTTCTACCATAATTCCTTGATTGTCTTGACACTTATTATATAGTTGATTCTTAGGGACATTTCCTGGGAACAGTGTTCTTTGAGTTCTGTGTTTCATAACTGTTTGTTTCGTTTAGCCATGGATGTTAGTTTAGCTGTATAGAACATCTTTGGCTTATATTTTATTTCCTTAGGTATTTAAATGTATAATTTCATTCTTGGCTTGTGTAAACTGTTTGCGCCTATGTCTATTGTCAGTGCCAGTGTCTGTTTTCTTTTCCTTTTAAGTAATTTGGACTGTCTGCACAGATGCCAATGATTGTTTTCCCCCCTTGAAATCCAGTAGTTTTATTAGACTGTGTGTTGATGTTGATCTTCTGAGTTTTCCCAGGTATATGTCACTGGTATACCATTTCAGTATGCAAATTTAGCCTTTTTCTTTTAATTTGCAGAATTTTTTTGAATTATAGTAGCTAGTATTCTATTTCATAGCATGGGTTTTCTTTTTGGGGGCCTTCTATATTATGTATTTTGTATTTACTTCGCCTTTTATGTGTCACTCTTATTTTTAAATTTCTTTAAAATTTCTTTTTCATTTTCTTCTTTTTTCTCCTTTAATTTGTATGATGTCTTCTCATGTGTCTCCTCTAGTAGAGTCTTCATTTCTGATCCTTTTCTGAGTTAGCCCAGCTTTCTTTTTATGTCTTCCTAATTTCTAATTATGATTTACGTTGTTTTAAAGCTGTCTTTTTAGTTTCTTTTAGTTCTGTAAAGTTACAGTTTTCTTCATCTTATCTCCTTTAGGCCGGATTTTTCTGCTATATTTTCATTTTTCATTAGGTATGCTGTCCATATTATCCTCTTTTTCTTTAAGTATCATTGTATTGGAACTAATCAACAGTCCTTTTCTGTGTCTCATGTTTATTTCCTATGTATTTTGAATGCATTATGTACATTATGTAACATTAAAATTTTATGATCTCTGATGAGGATAAGCTCTAAGTTACAACCTATTAAACTTTAAGCTGTTGTAAGTTAGGTATTGTGTCTTGTAAGTTAGGTACCATGTCTTTTTCTTTAGCATTATGTGGTAGTAGGGATGGTGGTATGTCTGGCTCAGTTGCCATTGACGCTGTGCTTGCTCTATAGTCTAGCAATCTCAGTTAGTGAAATTATCTCTGTGTTGTATCATAATGTTTTTGCAACGTCTAAGGCATTTGTAATGTCATAGGCATCTGTAATGGAAAGATATTTTTTATATATGCACTGAACAGATTTTGGAACTGAGTTTGTGGGGTTTTTACCCCCTTTCCAACAAAGCAACCTAATTAATGTGTAGAATTAATAGTGCTACTTGGGCTTGGAATATTTGTGTTAATTAATTAGTCCTGATATGCTGCTCCTGTTTCTTTTGTTTTAGGTTAAATGGAAACCACCCTTGGGAGCTGGATGCCTGTGTAATCTTTCTATCACATCAGTGAATTGCAATGAGTGGAGGAGGAGAGCAGCCAGATATTCTCAGTGTTGGAGTCTTGGTCAAAGAAAGATGGAAAGTGGTGAGTATCTCTCTTAGATTGATAGAGAACATATCAGGGTAATTTTTGGTATCTTGATAAAAAGAGTGTTTCCTTGGGAAATAATATATATATACATATATATTGCTAATATACCTAAAGCGGTTGTTTTCGGTTATTTTCCTGTGATTAAGTCCTATTTATGCAGTAATTCTTGCTTTATATAGTAGTCAGTTTTCTTAACCACTGATAGCTAATACTGAGTAAAGTAGATAAAAGTGTACTTAGGGAAAGACAAATGAGAAAAAATACAGTACAATGAACTTCTCTTTTTCTTATTTTTATTAAGGAACTTTTTATTAAGGAAAATTGTAAGCATACATAAAAGTAGTGAGACTGATATAATGAACCTTCATATACTCATGCCCCAGCTTAAGCAGTTATCAATTTATAGTCAATCTTGCTTTATCTTTTTAACCTCCCTCCCAGAATATTTTGAAGCAAATCTTTTACCCTAGTATTTCTTCTGTGTGTACTTCAATTATGTATCTCTACAGGTTAAAAATTCTTTTAAAAATGTAGTCATAATATTATCACACCTAAAAAAGTAATAATTCTTTAATGTCATTAAGTATCTTTCCAGCTTTCACGTTTCCCATATTGTAAATTATTTTTAACAGTGTGAATCAAATCCAGATAAAGCCTGGGTGTTGCAATTGGTTGATATCACTTAAGTATCTTTTAATTTCTAGATTTCATTTTTCTTTGCTTCTTTACAATTTATTTATAGAAGAAACTTGGTCATTTACCTGTAGAATTTCCCAATTTGGATTTTTCTGATTTCTTCCATGTAGTATTAATAGGTTTCTCTATGTCTCATGCATTTTATGTAAATTCTTGTTTATTTATTTTGAGAGAGAGAGAGAAAGCAGGGGAGGGGCAAAGAGAGGCATAGAAAGAATCCCAAACAAGCTCTACATCAGCATCGTCCAGTGTGGGACTTGATCTCAGGAACTCTAAGATCATGACCTGAGCTGAAATCAGGAGTCAGGCACTTAAACGACTGAGCCACCCAGGCATCCCTAAATTGGTATTTATTGAGGTTTGATTAGACCTGAGTTCAGGTTTGTTTGAGTTGGCATTTTTTTCCCATAAGAAAGATCCATATTGTGATCGTTCATTAGGAGGCACGTAATGTCTTATCACCCATCAAGACACTGTGTGTCCTATTGACCATTATCATTGTAGCAGTATTTATCATCATTTTCTAGGTCTGTTAGTTGCAGATTGCTGACATTTTGTAATTCCTTCATTTTTAAATTTATTTATTTTGAGAGAGAGAGAGAGAATGCATATGTAGGTAGGGGAGGGGCAGAAAGAGAGAATCTGAAGCAGACTCCACACCTAGTGCTGAGTCCGACATGGGGCTCGATTTTATGACCAGGATATCATGAGTTGAGCCAAAATGGATGCTCAACCTACTGAGCCATAAAAATTCCTTCATTTGGGGCGCCTGGGTGGCTTAGTCGGTTAAGTGTCTGACTTTCGCTTAGGTCATGATCTCACGGTTTGTGGGTTCGGGCCCCACGTCGGGCTCTGTGCTGACAGCCAGCTCAGAGCCTGGAGCCTGTTTCAGTCTGTGACTCCCTCTCTCTCTGATCCTCCCCTGCTCACGCTGTCTCTCTCTCTCTCTCTCTCCAAGAAATAAATAAAACATTAAAAGAAAAAAATTCCTTCATTTTTTTTAGTTGAAGTACATCTACAAAGAAATTTTTTGCCATCAACTATTTGATTGCCGAGATACATTTTGATTAGGAAAGCAGAATAAACACATAATTCTTTTTCTTAATTTACCAGTTTTCAAAATAATGAACTGGTTCCCTAGCATTTTCCAAAAGTGACCAATGACATTTTTATTATTTATGTACTTATTTATTATTTTTTAATAGTTTATTGTCCAATTGTTTTCCATTGAAATATTTAAAAATAGGTAGTCAAGAAAGTATCGATTTAAGCATATTTCATATGTTTCAGTCAATTGTAGTTACTATCCTTATTGATCCCCAAATTGTCTTATTTGACTAAGGGGAGACACCCTTCAAGTTGTCTCTTGAGTCTTTCAACATGATCCCAATAGTCCTTTGATGTCTTCCTTGTCCTGGATTTGGAATCTGCCATCTTCCCTGTTCTTCAAGGAACAAGTTTTGTTTCAGATGTATTTAAATATATATTTTATTACTACCGAGTCTTTTGTTTATCAGAGTTTTGTTCCATTACCATGTTTAGCAAATTTATTCTAGTGATTTCCTTAATCTGTCAACAGATTAGAAGAAGATTCTTCCTTTAGAAACACGAAGTTTGTTTCTAAGAATACAGTGTTTTACCAATTAGGCAAATCAGTTGGCTTTGAAACTTTACTTGAGTAAATATAAGAAGAGAACCATGTTGTCATCATGGATTGGTGCAGGGAGATTACAGCAATTGGTAATCTTTTATGTAAGTCAGGAATGAATGTTTCCTTGGTGAGTGCTTTGTATTAAGTGCTGTGATAAAGTTTGGTTCTTTCCAGTAGACATATCAAAAGGTGACAGATGAAGCTACTCCTGGCTTAGTTGCTCTGTCCTGATAATTAGAACTAATATATGTATTGAACACGTCCCCCCAATTTGGGAGGCATAGTGACATTTTAGTAAGAAATAGGGGCATTGTTATGGATGGTGTTTTGGTTATGTACCATTATGAGCAAACTACATTAAAATTTAGAGGCTTACAATAATAATTTTTTTACTTATAATTTTGTGGATTGGGAATTTGAAACGAGTTTGCCTGATGGTTTGTCCCTTAACCATCTGGCACTCGCAGGGTTGAGTGGGTTAGAGGATCCAACTTCCAAATGGATTGTTTGGTGACTTGAAGGTCCTTAGTTCCTTAATCTACCCACTTTCATCCCTGGTGGCTTATTTTCTAGGACCTCTTCACAGGTCTGTGGCTTCTCAGATGGTCACACTTTTTACATGGTAGCTGGCTTTTGAGAGATAGGAAACAGAAACTACAGGGGTGTTTACAGGCTATTCTCAGGGCTGGTGCAGTATCACTTCACCATGTTCTGTTGGTTAAAGCAGCCACAAGATTTACCCAGACTTAAGAGGGTGGGTGATAGACACTATATCTTGGGTGAGTGGCAAGGCCACACTGAAGAAGAGCAAAAAGGGATGAGTGGCATTGTGCTCATCCGGGGGAAACACAGTCTGCCACAGGCCTTTCCACTATTCTTTCCCTAATCTACATAGCCCCATCATACTAAACTGCCTCTAGCTTTCTGCTTTATAAACACTGATGATGTCTTAGTGCTTTGTCAAGTTCAGTGAAAAATATTAATGTTCCACTCTTGTTGAAATGACATTATAGGAGTAGACTAAGGAGCAATATCATTACTTTGGTCTAGATTTTATGTTCTGTCATTTGGTAAGGTTTTTGTGAGGTAAAACATGAAGGTACCTCTCACCACTCTCCATAATGAGAAAAATGTCCCTTTGGTACTGTTTATGAGTTTTTAAGTTATACTAGGCTTTGTTTAATGGACAGATATTAAGAATCATAAGCATTGATCAGGGCCCAACAACTACAACAAAAAAAACAACTTACCTGAAATGAAGTTTTGGAACTTTATTTTTAATCCTGAGCTCATACTAGAGCTCCTCATACTATCTCTTCCCATCACCCAACTGGAATAAAGGATTATGGCTCTCATATACAAAGCAATGAATAGTTATTTAGCAATAATTATATAGTTACCATGTAGCCACTTGATATAGAGGAAACAAAAAAAAAAATAGAAAGGTGTGGCTTTCTGAAGAAGCTTAGTTTCACTCTAGGGAGCTAGGACATTGACAGTGGAAAGTCAAAAACAGTACAGTGAATTACTACAAATGATATCTGAGGTGTTTAGCTTAGTAAACTGATTAAAATATTAAGCAAATAATTCCTGTAGAAATTCAGAAGATTGAGAAATCTGCCCCAAAGCAGTAATCAGTACAGATGCAGTGTTGAAAGAGGTAGAACTTAGTGAGTCCTCTGGGGTGGTTAGGATTTAGGACTCTGTGCCTCCCCTGAGGATGTTCTGCATTATATCACATCTTAAATGTTTGATAATGTGGAAAGGAGAAGACCTTGAGGAAATGGAAGAAGGCTAATTCCATGCTGTGTCTGGTTTGAAGTATATTACCCATCTTGGTGCTCATAGCTCTACAGGTTCAGTTGTCACTAACACTTGAGAACTTGCTTGTAATACTCAGAGATCCTGGTATTCCCCAGTTAAGCTAATACATTTTATCAGGAAGGATATTAAGTGTTTGTTGAAAGTGTTTTATTTGATTAGACTTTGTCTTAATCTGAGCATATAGTTATATAGTGAACTCTGGGATAGTTTAGAACAGGAGTTTTCTGTCTCTTCTGTGGAGCCTGCTCAGTGCCTCAGAGAGGAGGATGAGTGGTGCTCAGAGGGCTGGGCTCTGGTTGCCTCACTCCCACCTCCAGCCTCTCCACATACACATCTCACCTGTGTTCCAGATATGATTTCGATTGGCCAAAAGATTTCATGATTTAAAAAGTTTCCAAATGTTGCCTTAGAATTAAAATAACATATCTGGTTGTTGGCATTTGTGGCAAGTGAAGCTTTCAGATACTATGCTTTTTTTCCCTGACATTCTTGATGCTGGCTGTAGACCAAATTTTAAAATTGTGGCTCAAATAATTTCATTTACCTTTTGTGGGTAAAACCGTGAGAAAAGGTTTTGGTGATAATTTAGGCATTTGTTTTCTTGGCATATGTTCAGTTAACAATATTGAGACCTTGTATCCTCAAATAGGGATAGTAAAATTATATATTATTTTTTAATATAAAGGACAAATTGGCTTCCAGTTAGAACATTCTAGTAATTTTATGTGTGTATGTTCTTATTTCCCCTGCAGTTGAGGAAGATTGGGGGTGGGGGCTTTGGAGAAATTTACGATGCCTTGGACATGCTTACCAGGGAAAATGTTGCACTGAAGGTAGAATCAGCTCAGCAACCAAAACAAGTTCTGAAAATGGAGGTTGCTGTACTGAAAAAACTACAAGGTAAGCTACTTTGCATGATATACCAAACAATTTATAATTTATTGTTACTTTTATAAACCTCAGTTACATTCTCAAACTGTTAATGAATAATCAGGTATCAGCTCTGTATAAAAAGTGCTTAGCATTTTTCTCTTGGAAATTTTATAACTAGCTAGTAGGAGTAGAAATAGTGATTGCTTAGACTAATTGGACATTGGGAATTACCTAAAACATTCTGCTTTAGAAAGTGTTTTTGTAAGTCTGTTTTGGTAAAAATTTGCCTTTTTTTTTTTTAAATCACTAAACATAAATACCTCTGAGTTGTTTCTACTTATATCATTGGGTGTAAATATGCTTTAATCACACTAAGGAAGCTGCCTTCAAATCATATTGCAGGATGGATTAAAAATAATACTATTTGTGTGAATAACTTTTTCTTGCTCCGTTGTCATTTTTGAGATCTGTTTTCTTTTTTTTTTTTTAGATCTGTTTTCTACTTGGATTCCTTTTTTTTACTATAAGGATAAATAACTTTTTTTCTGACTTTAACCCAGTCATGTAGTACCCTGAATATATTGCTAGTTTGTATTCATCTTTGTATTTTCAGTTTAATGATATAATCTGATATTACTCATATTTAAATGTTTTATCTGAAGAAAAATTAAATGGGTTAATTAGCACATTAAATGATCTTGTTAAGCTCTAGAAGGTTTGATATTGTTATGAGATATTCATTAGTATCTAAAGGAATAAAGTGGTAACATATAGAGCAAAGGAAGTTGGTAGAATTAGTAGAAATAATTGTAGTTGGTAGAAATAGCAAGCACAAAATGCTTTGTAACCTAGGACCTTCAAATTCATGGCTATGTAGTCTCTAGGGTGAATGTGCTCTTTGTGAATTCCTGATGTTTGGAATTCTAGTATAGTAGATTATGTTAAGTTAATGAAGTGTGTGTGTATTATGTGTTCTGGCAATGTCTGTTCTTTTAATCATTGCCCTTTGCCTAAGCTTTCTGATTATCCAGGTTTCTCTAATAATTGGCTCATTTGATTAGAGCCTAATGCTAATAAAATTATAGATCTGCTTAATAGTTATTTTTAGCCCAAACTTAGCTTTCCCAAAACATGAGAAATTAGGAAAGCAGTGGATAAATCAATACTATTAGAAGAACCATAACTGGAGAAGGAAGAATAGGGGAAACGATGGTGCTCTCTTTTTTTTCACCTTTTCTCTTTATTTCCTGTTTCTTTGGAGCTGTTCTCAGCTCAGTGACATAGAGGCCACAAATATGTGTGGCTGCAGCTACCAATTCCTGGGTTGCTCAGATTCTAGGAGATCTCTTTGACTCTCAGACAAGCTCATAAGGATATGGCAGCATCAGTGTGGCCTGCACAGTGCCAGTTCACCTTTCTCCTACTTGGCCTTGAGAAGGTGTTTCTAGGTGAGGCATGATACAGCTCTATAGGCCTTTCAGTAGGTTCTCTTGCCTATTTTGACCACAATTTACCCAGGATTCTATGGGATAAAGCTTAAAGATAACTTTAATACCTTTAAAAAAAATTTAATGTTTATTTATTGTTATTGTTTTTTTAATTCACCTTTCTTTTTTTTTAATGTTTTATTTATTTCTGAGAGAGAGAGAGAGAGAGAGAGACAACGTGAGCAGGGGAGGGTCACAGGGAGAGGGAGACACAGGGAAGACAGGCTCCAGGCTCTGAGTTAGCTGTTAGCACAGAGCCTGACGCGGGGCTCAAACCCATGAACTGTGAGATCTTTACCGGAGCCGAAGTTGGTCACTTTACCAACTGAGCCACCCAGGCGCCCCTATTATTGTTTAAAATATAACTTATTGTCAAGTTAGCTAACATACAGTGTATACAGTGTGCTCTTGGCTTCAGGAGTAGATTCCCATGCTTCATCGCTTAATATAGAGCACCCAGTGCTGGTCCCAACAAGTGCCGTCCTCAGTGCCCATCACCCATTTTCTCCTCCCTGCATTCAACCCACAGTTTGTTCTCTGTATTTAAGAATCTATTATGGTTTGCCTCCCTCTCTGTTTGCCACATTATGGAAAGAGCCCAAATGTCCATCAGCTGATGAGTGGGTAAAGTAGATGTGGTTTATATATACAATGGAATACTACTTGGCAATAAGAAAGAATAAAACCTTGCCATTTGCAACAGTGTTAATGGAACAACAGGGTATTATGCTAAGAGCCATAAATCAGAGAAAGACAGATATCATATGTTTTCACTCGTGGAATTTGAGCAACTTAACAGAGAACATGGGGGAAGGGAAGGAGAAGAAAATAATGTTTATTTTTGAGAGAGGCAGAATGTGAGCAGGGAAGAGGCAGAGAGAGGGAGACACAGAATCTGAAGTAGGCTCCAGGCTTCGATCTGTCAGCACAGAGTCTGACATGGGGATCAAATCCACAAACCACGAGATCATGACCTGAGCCAAAATCAGACACTTAACCAACTGAGCCACCCAGGCACCCCACTTTAGTACCTTTTAATGGATGAATTGGAGACTCTTGGATGCTGAGTCTCTCCTCCTTCTGGCTATTTTATCTTTCATGCTATTAACTGAAATGCTTTTCCTACCTAAAGAATCCTTTACTTTCAAAAAATAAATGGGTTGTTATCTTCTGGTCTGTATTTCTTCCTTTGTTTTTAAGTTTTTGTTTCAGTGAGACAGCCCTTGAATCTTCTTGGCTTTCTTGCTTAATGTCTTCTGCATATTTAATGCTTCACAACCTTTTTTTGTTGAAAGTGGTTTAGAATTTGGACCTTTTCGAGGACATTTTTATGGAGCTGACTTGCTTGCCTTCCTTTTGATATAATGATTTCTTACTCAGTGACCCCAATAAAAAGGTTAAGAGTATAAGGAGACGATACATAACCAGAGGCTAACCCTTTAAAGGATTGGTTGGTTTTAGATTTTTTTTTTAATGTTTATTTTTGAGAGAGAACAAGAGACAGAATGTGAATGGGGGAGGGGGAGATGGAGGGAGACACAGAATCAAAAGCAGGCTCCAAGCTTTGAGCTGTTAGTGCAGAGCCTGACATGGGGCTCACACACAAGAACCGTTGAGATCATGAACTGAGCTTAAGTCGGATGCTTAACCGATTAGCCACCAGGTGCCCCAGGATTGGTTGGGTTTTTTTTTTTTTTTTTACATTTTTAGTATTTCATTTTTAATCTTTCATTTGCTATTTTCTTTTTTCTTTTTTTTTTTTTGTAAATAGTTTATTGTCAAATCAGTTTCCACATAACACCCAGTGCTCATTCCCACAAGTGCCCTCCTCCATGCCCATCCCCCCCCCCCCCCCCCCCTCAGTCCTCAGTTTTTGTCAGCATTCAAGAGTCTCTCATGGTTTGCCTCTCTCCCTTTCCCCCACCATTTCCCCCCTTCTTCTCCCCCTTGTTCCTCAGTTACGTTCCTCCTAATCCTCCTATACGTGCAAACATATGATATTTGTCCTTCTCTGCCTGACTTACTTCGCTCAGCATAACACCCTCAAGGTCCATCCATGTTGCTACACATGGCCAGATTTCATTGTTTCTCATTGCCATGTAGTATTCCATGGTATAGATAAACCACGTCTTCTTGATCCATTCGTCCATTGATGGACACTTAGGCTCTTTCCATGTTTTAGCTATTGTTGAGAGTGCTGCTATGAACATTGGGGTACATGTGCTCCTATGCATCAGCATGTCTGTATCCCTTGGGTAAATTCCTAGCAGTGCTATTGCTGGGTCATAGGGGAGTTCTAGTGTTAGTTTCCTGAGGAACCTCCACACTGTTTTCCAGAGGGGCTGCATCCGTTTACATTCCCACCAACAGTGTAGGAGGGTGCCCATTTCTCCACATCCTCGCCAGCATCTAGAGTTCTCTGATTTGCTCATTTTAGCCACTCTGACTGGCGTGAGGTGGTATCTCAGTGTGGCTTTGATTTGTATTTCCCTGATGAGGAGGGATGCTGAGCATCGTTTCATGTGTCTGTTGGCCATCTGGATGTCCTCTTTGGAGAAGTGTCTGTTCATATCTTCTGCCCATTTCTTCACTGGGTTGTTTGTTTTTCGGGTGTGGAGTTTGGTGAGTTCCTTATAGATTCTGGATATTAACCCCTTATCTGATATGTCATTTGCAACTATCTTTTCCCATTCCGTTGGTCGCCTGTTAGTTTTGTGGGTTGTTTCCTTGGCTGTGCAGAAGCTTTTAATCTTGATGAGGTCCCAACAGTTTATTTTTGCTCTTGATTCCCTTGCATTTGGGGATGTGTCAAGTAAGAAGTTGCTGCGGTGGAGGTCAAGGACGTTGTTTCCTGCTTTCTCCTCTAGGATGTTGATAGTTTCCTGTCTCACGTTCAGGTCCTTTATCCATTTTGAGTTTATTTTTGTGCATGGTGTGAGAAAATGATGTAATTTCATTCTTCTGCATGTTGCTGTCCAGTTCTCCCAACACCATCTGTTAAAAAGGCTGTCTTTTTTCCATTGGATATTCTTTCCTGCTTTGTCAAAGATTAGGTGGCTGTATACTTTTGGGTCCACTTCTGAGTTCTCAATTCTGTTCCATTGGCCTATTTGTCTGTTTTTGTGCCATACCATACTGTCTTGATGATGACAGCTTTGTAGTAGAGGCTAAAGTCTGGGATGTTGATACCTCCTGTTTTGGTTTTATTTTTCAGTATTACTTTGGATATTCGGGGTCTTTTGTGGTTCCATACAAATTTTAGGATAGTTTGTTCTAGTTTTGAGAAGTATGCTGGTGCAATTTTGATTGGAATTGCATTGAATGTGTAGAGTGCTTTGGGTAGTAATAACATCTTAACTATATTTATTCTTCCTGTCCATGAGCATGGAATGTTTTTCCATTTCTTTGTGTCGTCTTCAGTTTCCTTCATAAGTTTTCTATAGTTTTCATCATATAGATCTCTTGTAGGATTGGTTGGTTTTTAACTGATATTCCATTTTTATTAAAAAAAAATTTTTTTTTAAGTTTTTTATTTCTGAG